GTGAAACTTTAAAGTCGATTTTCTCGAAACTTTTTCCAAAATGCGAATTTCTCTTTTTGACTGAAATAGATAGGGGACATGTTAAAGTTTAGTNTGCGACAAAAATTATACCTCTCGGGTCAAAATTGGCGAAGTTATGGCCTTTTAAGCGGAGGGGTGGGGGTCGGCAGTTTTCCTATAGAGTCTAGTTGCACTGGTAGGGGTGAAGACCAAAACTTTGACAGGCTGCCCTGGGGAAACTATCAGAGATAGAAAGCTGAAATTTGCACTGCAGGTACAGACTGGTTGGAAGTTGCTGTGTTCCAAATTTCAGGTTCCTACCGTGAAAACTCTGCCTGTTACAGCACTTTTGGTTTCTGATTTCTTCCCCAAACCACAAAATAAGCGATTTTCCTCTGGAAAATTTGGGTGAAACTTTAAAGTCGATTTTCTCGAAACTTTTTCCAAAATGCGAATTTCTCTTTTTGACTGAAATAGATAGGGGACATGTTAAAGTTTAGTTTGCGCCAAAAATTATACCTCTCGGGTCAAAATTGGCGAAGTTATGGCCTTTTTAGCGGAGGGGTGGGGGTCGGCAGTTTTCCTATAGAGTCTAGTTGCACTGGTAGGGGTGAAGACCAAAACTTTGACAGGCTGCCCTGGGGAAACTATCAGAGATAGAAAGCTGAAATTTGCACTGCAGGTACAGACTGGTTGGAAGTTGCTGTGTTCCAAATTTCAGGTTCCTACCGTGAAAACTCTGCCTGTTACAGCACTTTTGGTTTCTGATTTCTTCCCCAAACCACAAAATAAGCGATTTTCCTCTGGAAAATTTGGGTGAAACTTTAAAGTCGATTTTCTCGAAACTTTTTCCAAAATGCGAATTTCTCTTTTTGACTGAAATAGATAGGGGACATGTTAAAGTTTAGTTTGCGCCAAAAATTATACCTCTCGGGTCAAAATTGGCGAAGTTATGGCCTTTTTAGCGGAGGGGTGGGGGTCGGCAGTTTTCCTATAGAGTCTAGTTGCACTGGTAGGGGTGAAGACCAAAACTTTGACAGGCTGCCCTGGGGAAACTATCAGAGATAGAAAGCTGAAATTTGCACTGCAGGTACAGACTGGTTGGAAGTTGCTGTGTTCCAAATTTCAGGTTCCTACCGTGAAAACTCTGCCTGTTACAGCACTTTTGGTTTCTGATTTCTTCCCCAAACCACAAAATAAGCGATTTTCCTCTGGAAAATTTGGGTGAAACTTTAAAGTCGATTTTCTCGAAACTTTTTCCAAAATGCGAATTTCTCTTTTGA